CAGCATGAATTGGAATATAGGCGCGACCACTAGATGGATAAGATGCGGACGGACCATGTGGAACTTCTATCTTGGCATCCTCCTCCTGAAGCCATTTGACATACCTTGCGACGCATGCACGACTGTGCTGACGTCCGTGGAATGTGGACTTCTTGCAAACATTGCAATCTTTGGTAGGACCATGCTTCCTAATCCATTCAGTTGGGACATTACGGATGTTGTCATAGTTTGGCGGTTTGACATGCAATTGAGACTCTGGCATTGATGGGTCAACTTTTGAAGTATCCTCACCTACTTTGGCAGCGTCGAAACGCTTGTGAACATCTTCTAAACTCGTCTCTCGAGATTGACTGCGATCGAACGACATCACAAAAGACGGTGCCAGGCCTACTTCAAAGCTTTTTGGTGTGAGCAGCTTCACGCTGCGGGCCACGAACACTCTTTCGGTACCTTCCAGCACACAGCAACAGATGTGTCCCAGTGAGTTGAATTCAGGACGCAGATACACCGCCTTTTCAAAGCGGGAGAGAGCACTCTTTCGAAGGCTTTCCGGAACCTCCGCCAGGCAGACCGAACCAAACATGGCTGTTTGCGTATGAACGGAACGGCCGAGAGCGATATCTTTTGGGGACTTCTTAGTGTCAAGAAAGGTCCAATGGTTGTTTGCACAAAAACAGATGTATGCAAGAGCGGAATTAAGGCCCTTACGACCGGAAGTGTTCAGATCGACCTGGTGTTCCCGTAGGTCCTGCCGGATGGCAGCCAAGGAATCCTTCACTATTCGAATAGCACCCTTTGCATTCCAACAGTTTGATGTGCCTGAGGTGCTGCTTTTAGGATGGAGATGTCCCGACCAATGTCCAAGCCAAGGAAAACCTGATTCACCCCCTCTTCAGCGTCCGTTAACACTTCCAAAGGAAACTGTGAGGCTCCAACAAGATTGAATTCGGTGAGCCAGTTCCATGGTCTTTACCACAGGGATGATCGGAACTACTCCACGCATGTTTGTGGCTATATATATCAACAAGAATCATAAATTTGTGCTTCTCAATAAAGAAGAAATCGGCAGCCACTTCTGAATTCAACTTATCTTTATTCTTACGACGATGCTGGGTGAAGGAATTGGCAGCTGAACGCGACAAACAACCTTCATGAAAAGGAACATGGCCTTGGTTGTGATGTTCCTCTAACGACTGCTTTATCTTTTGACCTTTCCTCAAAACAACTGGATGCGCTGACGAATCTTGTGGTTCGTGAGGTAAATGCATCGAAGGGCCATGTGCGGTATAGGCAAACCTGGTGGTTGGATTGACGTCTCAACTTGCATGTCACTTAGATTGGGCTCATTCAAACCGATCCCACTCCCTGAAAACGAAGACGAATCCTGCCCTGACTGCTCGGCAGTCCCTGACTCTCCAGCAACGTTTCGGTCGGCGGGTATCGGAGGCGTGATTTGAGGCTGAGAGTCGAGCGAACGATAAACAGTTTCAGGACTCAATTCAGTTTCTGCTTTCCGTTTTGCAGCCATCAACAATGGAGCTTCCCTTTCAAAGGTCAAAACATGTGGTTCCCCAAATCGAACCTGTTTGGAAGATTGTGAACCAGCTTTCGACTTTTGTGGCCTCACCGACGAAGTCTTGAACCACTCGACGAGCCGAGTTGCTGGCATATCGTGCTTGGATGACTCATCGATATCCAGACGAAAGTCATCGTGAATGACCTGGACCTCTGATCCGGAACTCCCAAGGGTCCATCCCTTACGCAATAATGTCCCAAGACTCAGTACATTGTTCGGCGCATTAGCTACGAAAGCTGTGATCAAACAATCCTGCCATATCTTGTGTTTAGGGTCATGGATTGAAAGCATCTTGAAATGTGCTTTAATACAAACCATTCTCGATGGCCTAATGATTTCACCAGAAGCTGAGGAAAAACCGTGGTCATTATCCATTGGGAGATCCATGACCTGGTGCACCTCGTACGAATCTATGAACTTGCTACTCACAACAGAGGCGCTTGCTCCTGAGTCAATTAGCCACCAGAATGTGTCCGAATCTTCCTGTTGAGAAGTTATCGCAGGCATCAAAAAGGGCATAAATATTGGATGCTTCATTGATGATGTATGCGCAAAATCTTGCTTTTCCTGATCAAGAAGGGAATGACTAAAAATTTCAGTTTTCACAAACTCTTGAAACACCACAGTGCTCTGAAAAACACCGGGATTTGACTCCGACCCACGCCCCGCGCAGTCCTCATCCAAGTTCACCGAACGTTCGAACTGCAACATGGTCTGCAGGCATGGATTCGAAAAACGCGCATTGGCGGCAACGAAAGGGCTCAAAGTCGGCTGGGCTATCGATGAGTCACCTTCGGTTGGCGATGACTCGGCATCCGGCTGATTCGAAACCAGCTCGTGAATCTTGCCTTTACTAGCCTTACCTTTACCCTTACCTTTACCACCTTTATTCTTCCCCTTCCCATCAGGCTGCTGGGAACCCTTTGACCCTGCATCGGACGAACCGGCCTTTTCAGGCTGATTACCATCCTTATCGGTCTTGGCGTGGCAATTGCTTTGGAAATGGCCTTTGCGATTGCAACGAAAGCATTTGGAATTCTTTTCTTTCTCGCTCTTCTCTTCAGCTTTCTTCTTTGGGCTGCTTGAAGTCGATCGTGTATCTTTGCCTTTCTCTTTTCCTTTACCTTTACCCTTTTCACCTTTCTTTGTCAGTTCTCGAACATACTCTGCATGTAATGCGATGCGGTGTTGCCACTGATCTCAGTCCACAATCGTTGAGAAGTCTCATACTTCAGTGCAGCAGCAGATTTGAGATCTTTGTAATCATCTGACGAACCATGCATTGTGACATACTCACACACCGTGATGGGCAAGGATCGAAGGAACAACATTGCAAGATCTGTTGATTGCAAGTCTAATCCACTCTTGGAGATTGTGCTCGGAAGCATATTCAGCAACTTCAGGTATCGGCTTTCTTCAAACTCCATCTGCTTGATGAGCTCGGTGACGCTGCTGGCCTTGAAAGTCTTGCCAAGAAGCGAATTGCGGAAATGCATCGCCTCCTGACGTGACCTCACGAGGTACTCGTGAGCGATCAACCTGAGGGCTTCGAATCCGTTTCGTTCTCCAGAATGTGAAGACTCATTATATGCAAGCAAAATCATCTTGGCCTTGGGGACCTCACGAAACACTGGTTTCAACATGTTCAGAAGTCGCACACCTCGGGCTTTCTGCTCTTCGCTCAACATTGTTGCATCAATGATCGAAGGAGATGTGATGGCGAATCGTACCTCATTGGCAAATGCGGCAGAGACGAGTCCAATCCATGCGGTAAAGTTCTCCATAAAAGTCTCAAAGCCGATGATCTCTTCGGTACGAGTACGCCAGCCTTTGGCATCAACACTGGGCATCTCTGGAAGCCACTTATCGGACCTTTGAAAAGCATCCAATGTAGCGGGCTTATCAGTTGTCCCACCGGTTCCAGCTGTTGTTGCACCTGTTGTAGCTCCAGTGGAAGGAACACCCAATGGAATCTCAATGCCGCCGGGGAGAACAATGTTGGCATACCCGATGAAGTGGAACCAACATTGCTTGACGATGCCGTTTGTTGTGCTGCAGCATTGGTCGTAGTCTGTCCAATACCAAAAGGTGAAGCACCATTGGGCTGACCTCCAGACATGTTGGCAGCTCCAAAGGGGCTTGACCTTGCATGAACACCCGACAGTGAAGGCGGCCTTGACACACCTCGAGGAGAGATGGGCAACGCTGTTCTCTGAGCTTGCAAACTTTGGATCATTGCTTGTTGCATCTGAATGGCACTCTGGGACTTAGCATTGGCCTGTTGTTGATTCTCCACGACACTAGCTAAGGTTTGAAGCTGTGTACCCATCATCTGAAGTCCACGGGTCAATTCAGCTATTTGCCCTTCCAAACGTGTGGAAACCGCAGGCGCTAGCGAAGCAGGTGATGGCGCTTTCGCGACTGCAGGCATTGATTTGCCTCGTCGGCCTCGTGGAGACCTATCTCGATCAGATGCTTCGGCATCGACTTCAGTGGCAGCTCGCTTGGCCATGGCTAACACAGGGGGGTCGCGGTGAAGAAAAAGTTTCCTAGTGACCTGGATCATGTCTAGAACTAATCTAAGGAGCACCATGAGCTCCGCTACCATGCGAAGCGCTAGAACCCTAAACTAGGAAATGAACAGGGTCCTATGGGCCTCAATGGGGACTAGCGTTCACCACCAGTGGAACCCACCCAATCACCAATGCCCTCTTTTCCTGCGGATGAACGATCCTGCGCATGGTCTTCATGGCCTTGAGCCATAGTGTCGAATGCGCGAAACATGCGGCTGCACCTAGCATATGGCAACGAAATGCGAAGCGAAGGCATGAAGGTACCTGACAGGAAAATACATCTCTGAAATCTGGTTCTCTGAACACAGTACGAACAGATTATCTTGACTTAGAGATCCCTCTAGATGGTTAGGGATTCCCACAAGAAAGGGTTGGCCCAAAACAAAGCTGGAGCATTTCACTGTAGATTCACCTTCAATGGTAGCTGCATTTTGACTTGTCAGTGTTTTGTCCATTGACTAAACTAACATTTGGATATGTTCAGGTTTTTCATTGCCATCAGCATAAGTTGACAGCTGCGCAATCTGAACTAACTCTGTTCTGCCCTTTACGGTGCCTCTATGGAAGTACAACAGCCTCTTTGAGAGAGTGCAGAGGGCGAAGCTAAAGACTGCATGACTCTAAAAAGTAATTCGACACATCCACAGATATAAAAGCGGGAAACTACATTGCAAGGGATCAGAAGGAACAAATGCAAGACTAAAGTGTTTTTCATTGCACATACACAGTGCCTATAGCTCCATGTGGGAAGAGCCAAAACTCTTAAGTGTTCTTTACGACTCACTCCCCAGTCCCACAGTCACAAGAATTTCCAGCCCTCAGAGAGAACGATTTCCAGCCCTCAGTCTGAGGCAGTGGAGCGAGGACAGCCGCGCCTTGGTTGGCTCAGATGATGGCAGCCTTTCCCTTTGGCGCTTGGACTCCTCCGAATGCTTGGTGAGGCGTATTTGTGCAGCCAATATGCTGCAATAATATGCTTAATGAAGGTATTTGTTGCTTTTGTGTATAAAAACGTGGAGTTGTGAGTTGTGAAGAGAATTTTAAGAATGAACCATGCGGGCCATGCTATTGATAAAGCCGTGTTTTTCTTTTAGACGTTTCTGTTTTTGAGATGTCAGACAAGCAAACATCCGCTGTGGAGGTTTGCTCGGCACGTGGGCTTTGTTTGGGCCATTCATGCTGATTGGGTCTGCGCCTCATCAAAGCGAAGATTGCGAGGCGATGAGTGTTGCTTTTGAGGCAAAGGAGCGTGCTGTATCTGGTGCTTTTGATGGTTGTTTGAAGCTTTGGGCCGGAAACCCGACGTTCTGGAAGCGAAGCGTGTGACGTTGCGACGTTTGCCCCAAGGACCTCCGAACAGGCGAGTGTTTGCGGACCATTCAAGGTCACTCGCGCCCAATTAGGACTGCGGACTGCTATTCAGTGAACATCTCAACTGGTATTTGCAATTCCAAAAATCAAAAGTCTCGCAGGAGCATTTGCTGCGGCTGAGCGTGGGACAGTGCTTTCCATAGCTTTTCCAAATTAGGTGACACTGAGCTGAGTTGAGCAAGACCCTACTTGATTGAAAAAATTGCCCATTTTTGGTAGGTTTTGATTGTTTCAGGTATTTTTTGGTTTTCGGAAGGAGGGAAGGAGGGAGGGAGCAAGGAAGGAAGGATGCAGGTGGCCAGTGTCGCGAGCGCTTTTTCGCAGGTCGCCAGCTGGTCGCCAGCTGGAGGAGGAAATAAGAGTAGTCTGTCTATGTTGAACTCAATTCATGTTGAACTCATGTTTGAAGACCGAGGCCACCCGATGGAAAAATCTAGAGGAAGATGCAGATTGGTGCGATTTTTGAAAAAAGGGCCGAACTATGCTGAACTCGGGTAGGAATGGGATTGTGTTCCAAAAAGATCCGCAAATTGCTGTAGGACTGCGGCTTCAAACGCTTTTTGCTGAGCTTGTGTTCCAAAGTGATCTGTGTTCCAGCATGATCCGTCTTACGTGTTCCAAAACGACCCCCAAAACGACCCGGGCGCCCCATTTTCTGTTTCTGTGAACGATCGGTCGATTGGTGTCAGTTTCCCATGTTCAGGACATGCCACATTTGAGCATGGTGATCCCGTAGTCCATTCGGGTACAAGACCACCCGAGGGGCGTTCGAGCGCGGAAAGAGCGCATGCTTGCCGTGTTGTTCCGTTACCACTGTGGGTAATCTACAGTGGTAGCGGAGCCTCGGCATGAGCGAAAGTGGAGAGTCTCCTGGCACGGAGTCCTCCGCGCTGCCATGGCGCGATAAAGATCCACCGCCAGGTTTTGACGGCGACGTCGAGAAGTTTGAGGGCTACCTGCGGGAATTGAAGATGTGGCGGCATGAGACCGATGTTCCGGCCAAGAAGCACGCCGTGAAGATGCTTCGCGCCCTCAGCGGCCCAGCCAAGGCCGTTTGTCAAGAGCTGGAAGTGGAGACCCTCCTAACGGAGGCCGGCGCGGAGGCCATAGTCAACAAGCTGAAGGAGTACTACCAGCCGCATCTTGAGACTGCAATGCCACGCGCTTTCGAGCGTGCTGTGTATGGTGAGGCCCGACGACCGAAGGAGACCTTCGGAGAGTTCATCGTTCGTCAAGATGCCCTGTTCCATGAGCTGCGAGAGGAAGGCGTGCCGCTGGATGAAACGGTTCGGGGCTATGTCATGTTTCGCCAGGCCAACCTTAGTCAGACCCAAGAAGATCAGGTGACAACGTGGACTCAAGGCAAATTCGATCGACCGGCCGTGCTAGCTGCTCTTCGGAAGCTGGAGAAGGTCCAGCGTGAGCGTGGTGGTAAGCACTATCTCACGGTCGATGAGGACACCCTTGAAGGTTATGACTCAGAGGACGACGGCAACTACATCTACCTGGGTGATGCAGACCTTGAGCAGGTGTATGAGGAGGAAGAGCTGACAGAAGCACTAGCGACCTACCAGCAGGTGCGGCAGGCGATTCGTGAACAGAAGAACGGCAGGGGCTATTTTCAGCCCAAGGGCATTGGCAAGAGCTCGACTGGACGCTTTGGGAAGGGAGCAAAAGGCAGTCAGATGCAGGGCATCAAGTTTGGTGGAAAAGGCACTCGGGTGCACATTGACGTCCTGAAGCTCCGCACGAAGTGCGCTCGCTGTGGACAAATTGGCCATTGGGCCAGGGAATGTGTGAATGAGCCGGACGCGAAGGGGAAAAACCGTGCGTCCTCTGCCTCGGATGGTGCAAGCCCCAAGTCAGGTTTCTGCGAGACCGGTCTTACGGAAGATCCATCGCCTTCAAGCACCTATCAGGTCACCCTGGGTCAATGCCTGGCACGGTCGAGGTCTTTGAAGCAGAGTATAGCTCTACACCGTCGTTTTCGGGCATCACCACTAGTGGTTCCATGGGGATCATCGACACTGCAGCACAGGGTGGTCTCATTGGTCTTCCTGCCCTTCGTCGGTTAGAGGAGTCACTCAAGAACCATGGTCTTCAAGTGGTATGGACTGGTAAGAAGGCCCAGGCAAAGGGAATTGGCGGAGACGCCAAGGTCTGTGGGGTGGTCGAGATTCCAGTCGGCATCGGACACGTCAACGGCTTGATTGAGGCCACTGTGGTCGAAGACGAAGTGCCATTCCTCCTCTCCATCCAGTTCCTCAAACAGGTGGGGGCAATAGTGGATTTGCAGAGCAGTGCACTGGTTCTCACTCAGTATGGCAAGAGCAGCACTATTCATCATTTGCATTCAGGACATGTTGCTGTGCAAGTTTTGGATTTTCATGAGGAGGGTTGGCAGTTGCCGGATTTGGCCGTTGAGCGCACTCGCAAAGAAGCATCGTTTCGTGTTTTCACAGCCACGATTTCTCAGAACGTCACGTTCATGTGGGAAAAGGGTGTTTTCACTACGTGCGCCGTTGATGGACCTCATCGGACGACTTCGCCAGCTGGACCAGTCCAAGAAGGAAGAATGGGAGAAAGTGTCCATGAGCGATCCTGGAAAGGCCGAGCGAGCTGTCCGCAATTGGCGGGTGATCATGGAGCACGTGGCCGACCTCATGGACCTGGCTCGCGTTCAGATCAGGCTCGAAGACTGGCATCCAGATGGATTTGTGCATGGCTCGCCACAGTGCTCTTCGTTTTCCCGGCCGGCGTCGGGATCCGAGCCTTTCTCGTGCATGGACGGAGCCACCCAATTGCAGATCACCAAAGCATCCATCTATGCCGAGCTGATCCAACTCGGGGAGTATCTCGGCAAGAGGAAGTGCAAGGAAGCTCCGACAAGCCACATCAAGGCATGTGGGCATCCCATGGCGGCATTGGCGGGTGCAGGCAATCAAGCCCAGAGAGAGGCGTGGTGCCGCAAGTGTCATGCACGCTGGGGAGTGGATGCTCGGGTGATGGACGACATTGCCAACAAGAAGAAGGTGATCCACGTGAACGGCAAGACGTTCACAATGGGAGCCAAGTCCACGATGACCCGAACGGAGACTCCACCAAGAACCCCAGTGCGGACGCCATCAGCGAAGAAGGCAAGCAAGTGGCCAATGACACCGGGATCTCCATTGACTCCTCCATGGAATGCCGAGCAGCTGAGCACTCCGAGGACAACCACTATGGAATGCCATTGCAAAGCTCCAGCTGTGCAGCTGATTGTGAAAAAGGAGGGTCCGACACAAGGCCGCCTGTTCTGGAAGTGCGCCAAAAGGGTGTGCAATTTCTTCGAGTGGGATCCCCAAGAAACTCAGGCTCTTCAGCGGAAGCTGTTGCAGGAGCAGGAGGATGCGGAGGTGCGCCGCTGGGAGGAGCAAGAGGAGGCCGAGAGAAAGCAGATGGTCCAACAGACTATGCTGATGGCCGAACACCGACACCAGGAGATCATGGAGGCGGCCAGTGCACAACACGCCTTGGAGGTGGAGACTCTCAAGAACCAGCTGCTATGGATGTCTGCGGTGGCAGGCGAGGAACGCATGGAGGAGGTGTTCAAGAGCCCCGTCCTGCAGCAAGAGATGATGAGCAAGGCAATGGCAATGAAAGAGGAGCTTCAAAGTCAGGAGGCCCAAGCTCAGATGGCGATGGAACAGGTCCAGGGCTACCCCGGGAGTCAGACAAGCTCCCGACAGTGATGACTGAACAAGAGCTCCAGCAAGCATTGCAAGAAGACGCCCCTCAGGTGATCTTGTTGAAGAATGAGGCCCAATGGAACTTGTGGTGCAAGAAGCAGCTGGAGGAGAGTTCAAGTGAGAAGTATGAACGGCAGGTCGCTGATGGTTTTTGGGTGCCAGAGGAGGACGGCACGTGGAGGTTTCACTCCGGCATTTTGCCAAGGTTTCACACCGGAGTCACTGCAGTGGGCAAGTTTTGTGACAGCTACTTTCAGAATCAAGACTATGAGCCTGAAGAGGAGAGACCGCTGTCCAAAGCCACATGTAAGGCAGTGAACAAGAGGATGAAGCAGCTGGTGGTTTCAGAGTTCTTCTCTCCACCACGGGTGAGCAAGTATGCAGAAGAAAAGGGACATCTGGCCGGAGGGTCATTCGACCTTGAGACTGGCTATGATCTATCCATGGAGGTGGATCGAAGGCGTTGCTGGAAAGAATTGAGGCAGGCAGATCCTGACGTCATCGTGGTGAGTCCCCCTTGTGGTCCATTCTCCATCCTGCAGAGTCTCAACCAGCGACATCAAGGCACTCGTTCAGAGCTCAGACTGGCCGAGGGCAGGGAACATCTTCAGTTTGCTATGGAGGTGTTTCGCTGGCAGACGCTGCGAGGAAAACTTGCAATCTTCGAACATCCGGCTACATCACGGGCTTGGCAGGAGGAGTGTGTCCAGGAGATCATGATGATCCCAGGAGTTCAGCGGGTCAGAGCGGATCAATGCCAGTATGGATTAGCCGTGAAAGGTGGAGCACCCAACAGAAAACCAACTGATTTTCTCACCAATGGAGTGCACACTGCCATTGCTCTGAGCCGCAGGTGTCGTGGAGAACATGCCCATCAGCCACTGATCGGAGGCATAGCACACTTAGCACAACGCTATCCTCGTGGGCTATGCGCGGCAATGATCAATGGAAGCAAGAAGGATCTGTTGCAGCGTCAAATCTATGCGTGGGCCACCAGCCAAGAGGAGACAGAGGTGAAGCAAGCTGAGGATGACATAGAGGAACTGCTCAGACAGCATGAGGAGAAAGAAGATGAACGCCAGCAAGCGGAGAAAGAAAGAGGAGTTCAGGTGAAGAGGCAACTTGAGGCTGAAGACAGCCATGAGAGAAGAGAGGGAGAAGACCCAGATCATGTGCAGGGAGCCATCACCGCAGAAGACAAGCGGATCATCAACAAGCTGCACCAGAATCTGGGACACCCCAACAACTATGAGCTGAGCAAGGCACTCAGACTGGCCAGAGCTCGGAGTGCAGTGTGGCGCTATGTGAAGGATGAGTTCAAGTGCGACATCTGCGAGAGGAACAAAAAGCCAAAGGCAGCAAGGCCAGCCATGCTGCCCAAGACCTTTGAGCCGTGTCGCACAATTGGCCTGGATGTGGTCTACTTTCCAGCTCTGGACGTTCGACAAGTACGACCGGTGCTGAACATGTTGGATTGGGCTACAGGCTATCAAATGCTGGAGCCTCTAGACAATACTCAGTCGAGTCACATCTGGGAAAAGTTTCACTCAACATGGATCCGAACGTTCAGCGTGCCGGAGATAGTGGTCACAGACCAAGGAAGAGAGTTCGGAAAGGAGCTCGCCGAGAAGGTGTCACAAGCTGGAGCCCTACATCGAGTGATTGGTGCACGCGCTCCATGGCAGCAGGGGCGCACGGAGCGTCGTGGAGGAGTTGCCAAGGAGGTGTTCGTGAAGCTGCGTGAAAGCATGCTGCCTACCAGTGAGGCTGAGTGGAAGATGTGCGTGCACGCTGTGGAAGCCGCCAAGAATCGAATGTACAACCGTTCAGGTTTTAGCCCGGCTCAGAGGCAGTTTGGATACAACATGAGGCTTCCAGGGTCTCTAGGCTCAGACGATGTGTACTCGCCTGAGCTTCTGATACACTCTTCCACCGACGACATGCAAAGGGCCATGGAGATCCGAAACCACGCCATGCAGGAGTACCTCAAACATGTCACCTCCAGAGCAGTGGCCAAAGCACAGTGGGCCAGAGGCCGAGTGACTCAAGAGTTCAAGATTGGAGATGTGATCTACGTCTACCGGGTCCCACTGCAGCGCAAGAGAGCCAGGAGTGAGGTGGACTTTGAGGACCGAGAAGGCCGACGAGCTACGTGGGTGGGTCCTGGAGTGGTGATCATGGTGGAAGGAGCGAATGCCTGGCTATCAATTCGAGGAGAGTTGTGGAAGTGCGCATTGGAGCAGCTTAGGCATGCTACCCCAGAGGAGCAAGAAGCCAGAGATCTTCTGCATGGTGACTTTGAAGATTTGAGAGTTGAGATGACGCGGAAAGCCAGCAAACGGGGCTTCGAGGACATCACTCAATGGGAAAGGGATGAGCCGCCTAGACACAGGCCAAGGCTGGAGACAGCGGGCGAGCCAGAGGAGGAAGAAGGCCAGCCCAGTATGGAGTATGCTCCTTCATCTCCACCGGCAACTGAGAGAGAGCCGTCAGAGGAGCCCGAGATGATTCAACAGGCTGTGGAGTCCACTCGAAGATGTGAACAACTTGACGGAACGATGAGGCAAAGACAGCCACAAGACCTTTATGGACCCACCAGAAGGCATGTGAAGGATCGCTGGAGGCCATATCAGGGAGGAGCAAGTCTCGGGCATGCAGAGGAGGTGGAGGCTGAAGACGAGGAGCATCAGGAGGAGGACTTATGGATCTATGACGTTCACCGAAACAGCGTCATCAGAAAGCACAATCAAGAGAGAGAGGAGTCCACTTCACGCCAAGTCAAACTCGAGGATGCCCGATCTCGCTCAAATACTTGACCTCACAGAGAAGGACCGTGCAATGCTTCGGAGACGGAAGCGTGAGAGAAGAGAAAGAGAACTGGCGAGACATCCCAACCATGAAGTACAAGAGGGCGGCTAGTGGACCTACCCGCCGGTGGACGGGCTACACCGAGTTTCAGCTCAGGAAGTTGCCCCCAGAAGCTGAGTTGGCCCTAATGGTGAAGAGAGGCTCCGACGAGAAGAAGACATTCGTCCAGAAGAATGGGAGCAATGGCGCATTGCTGACGGAGCTGAGTGGAGCAAAGTGGAAGCCACCGGAGCAGTGAAGACCTTGGACAGTGATGAATCCTATGAAGTGGTCCGACAACTTCATGAAGCTGGTTTGAGCTCAAGGATCTTGCCGTCAAGAATGGTGAGAAGATGGAAGCCATCAGAGCAGCCAGGAGTTCCCCCCACGAGGAAGTCAAGGTGGTGTGTTCGAGGAGATCATGATCCTGATCTTCTACAACTGGACCGACATGCTCCAACGGTGACGACAGCCACTTTGGCTGTGGTGCTTCAGATCGCAGCAAGCTCAGGTTGGAGGGCGGCCATTGGAGACCTGAAGAACGCCTTCATGCAATCTGATAAGCTGGTGCAACCAGCAGGTCGTCTGTTCTGCAAGCAGCCAAGAGGAGGACTTCCAGGTCTGAACAAGGATCAATTGATCGAGATTCTGGCTGGTGCCTATGGATTGGGAGATGCTCCTGCTCACTGGCGGAAGAGTCTGAAGAAGGCATTGTTCCAATGTGGATTTCAACAGTCGAGCATGGATCCATGTGTGTTCAAAAGCTTTCAAGGAGGACAACTCCGAGGACTGCTGGTGGTGGAGGTGGATGATCTCTTCGGCGCTGGAGATGAATACTTCTTCCAGCAAATGGAACAGCTTCGCCAAAGGTTTGATTTTGGCAAGTTCGTGATGGTTGATCAAGAAGAGGCTGGTGTGGGCTTCAACGGTCGTCGTATCAAACATCAAGGTGGAGATTTCCTGATTGACATGGAGAAATTTGTCACCGAGCGCCTGAGCCCAGTCAGGCTTTCTCAAGGCAGGGCCACAAAGGCCAAAGAAGATGCGACGGAAGAGGAGAAGGAGTTGGTGCGGGCTGCAGTTGGCAGTTTGACATGGGCAGCCAAAGAAGGACGTCCTGATGCAGCGGCTGCTGCCAGCCTGATCGCTTCCAGCGTGAGTGAGCTTAAGGTGCAAGATGTGCTGGACTTGAACCGTGCCATCAACCAGGTGAGGGAGAATGCGCAGCTGGCAATTCGCATCCAGGCGATTCCGATGACAGAATTGTGCTGGGGTGTGGTGACGGACGCTAGCTACGCCAATGTGAGCAAAGGCAAGTCTCAGGGTGCGTATGCAGTGCTGGCCATGGAAAAGAAGATCCTGCACACCGGTGTTGGCAAGTGCAACATGCTTCACTGGCGGAGTGGAAAGATCCACAGGGTAGTTAACTCTACCCTGGCAGCTGAGACACAGGCATTGTCGCGTGGGTTGGCCGAGCTGTCATGGACCGTGACCGTGCGCAACGAATTCACCACCGAGGCCTTTGACATGCGACGGTGGGAGGAAGCCTTGCGAAAACACCGCATGAGTGCCTTGGTTTCTGAGAGCAGTGAGCGGGCCTTAGCTGAGAATCTCAGCATCGTAGATGCGAAGTCCTTGTTTGACCACCTCTCAAAGGAGACGGTAGGAACCACGAATGACAAACGCACCGCATTAGAGATGCAAGTGGTGCGGCAGATGCTGGCAGAGACCCGTACAGCAATCAAATGGGTGCCACATCCGCAGATGGTAGTGGATTGTTTGACGAAACGTCATGGCAACATCCAGCCCTTGCTCCAGCTTTTGCACGAAGGTGTGCTGCGGCTAAGGGAGGAAACTGACACCAAGAAGAATGTTTTGGGAGCTGTGAACGATCGGTCGATTGGTGTCAGTTTCCCATGTTCAGGACATGCCACATTTTGAGCATGGTGATCCCGTAGTCCATTCGGGTACAAGACCACCCGAGGGGCGTTCGAGCGCGGAAAGAGCGCATGCTTGCCGTGTTGTTCCGTTACCACTGTGGGTAATCTACAGTTTCTGATTTTCTTGGGGTAAGTTTGCCACATGCTTGTAGTAATCCACTTGCCAAACCTCGATTTGCGAACTCGCGGCTTTTTCAAACCTACGCATTTTACTACTAAAAAAGGTCTGGCCACACTCGCTGGCTGCGCCCTTCTTTTGTCATGCTGCTGGCCTGATACGGCGCTGGCCAGGAACTGATGCAGGCAATCTGGCCGATTTTGACGGATATTTTGGTGATGCGCGCGTATCTGTATTCAGGAAGGCTGCCCGGAGCGGTTTTTGCATGTATCGTTTCTGCGGGGGCCGGGTCGCTGTGACACCGCGATACGCTAGCTACCAGCCAGCAGCTAGCATCAGCTAGCGTTTTACGTGGCGCTGATCCTGTGTAGGAACTTGTTGGGCTGGCGCTTTTGGCCATGGCAAGTCGTCCTATTTGCGCAAGTAGCTGGAAGTTATGCATGCCTAAGGGGACCCGCAAAAACAGGTGTTGGTCCAAAAACTGCCCAGTGTCTGGGCAAATCATGTATTGGTACATGTTCTTGGGTGATCTTTACAAACGTCTTTCCAAAGTCTTTCTCAAGCTCTGCTCTTAGCTTCGCTTCTAGCTCCGCACCTCCCGTAGCCGGAGGCGCTTTCGGACTGAGTGCAAAAAAGGTGTGTTTTTTTTTCTATCGGTTTCTTGTCTATCGAGTCTATCGCGTGTGCCAGTTTCGCAGCTTGAAAGCGTTCAGCCGTTGTCGCAAAGATGTGAAACGAAGCCGAGAGAGGCCACAACCATCCAGCTTTGCACAAGATGCAGACAGCCTGATACAACTTGTTGCATCTGACAATGCACTAATTCGCATCGGCCAGCGTGTATCAATATGGGAGGCCAGGGCATGTGATCCAAGTTCACGCTGCGATTTTGCAACGGTTTGTGGGTCATGAACGCAACGTAGTAGGTCACTTTCTATCAACGCTGTCCCCACACCCCAGCAACAGGGCGTCTGTGTGTGCATGTTTAATGGGGTTCTTGTTTGGATTGCGCTTCATGTTTTGTTGGTTTGCGCCCAGTTGATCACGTGTTTTGCGCAGGGGAAGATGCGCAGGAGAAACTGTTTTGTGCAAATCTTGCTGCAAAAACGGTTTCTTGCTGCAAATAGCTGGTTGCGTGTGTCCAATGTTGTCAGGACGTGATGGTTGCCGTGAAACGCCTCCAGGTAAAATGAAGCGACATGAATTTATGTGGAATCCGAATCAACGAGCGGTGTTCTTTTCGTGTATGTTAAAAATGAGGACGTGTTGAAGACATAAGTTGAGATGTCAGCTGGAAAATGACCAAGTTGACGAGATGGCAGGTCGTGCTAGACAATAGTTCTGTGAGCAGCCGGGAAGAGGTCGAGGGAAGTTTGCGAAATTCGAAGACACAAGTGAAACAAATTTCGGAAGCATATCAATATAGTTTTGTTTCAACACATTTATGTCAAACATGTTGAGGTTTTGTGCGCCCTAGACGAGTTGCAATCCTTGGGAAGCAAAGACCTAAGGGACGCTATTTGTCGGGTTTTGCCTGCAAAGGTTCCTAGAACCCGTTGAACACGCTAGTATGTGATTCACATGCTAGACACGTTTTGACATCTTGCGTTGACAAAACTTTAGATCTCCGATGTAGGTCTTCCAATGGAGGTCTTGAAAGAGACTTTGGTTGGATTGGAGCTGAGATTCTAAAGGTGAAGGGTGGAACAATTAAGCTATGCAAAAAGTTCTCATGTATTTGTTCGAGAATGTGTTCCTGAAGGAAAGTCGCTCCATTCCTTGGCGAAAGCGGCAGCAGACCAGGAAATCAAATCCAAAGCCAAAAGCCTGGAATTGGCTTGGAGGCCGGATTCTTTTAAGAATTTATACAAAAAATCAAGGATTTTCTGCTTTTCCGCTTTTCGGAGGCAAGATTTCAAGGATTTCAAGAAGCGGAAAGCCGATGACCTGCCGCTTCGGTGAAAGTCAAACGCCCAATAGACAATTGGCAGCTGAGGCAGCTTCGTGTTTTTCTGAGGCAGCTGAGGCGGTCCAATTCCAATGTTTCGGAGGTGCGAAGAACGGCGAAAGCGGAGAGGTGAAGATGGTAAAGTGAAGAAACATGTCTTCAGCTTTGGCTTGCTTGTGTTCAGGGTTTTGAACGCAATTTCTTTAAGAAAATGCATTTTTTTCGGTCTTATCCTTTTTTCTTTTCGACTGCCAAATGTTGCGAAGGGCAGTGCCATGGTCAATCCGGCCGAGTTAGGCGCGGCTGCGCGACCTACTGCTCTCCTCCGCTGCGGTTAGGGACGCTTTGGAAAACTATTTTCAATCACAAAGGAGAAGTCTCCAAGAGAGGTCTCCGAGGAGGTCTTTTGTTCAGTTTCCCAAAACATCTAGAAGCCAAAGCATTAGTGCGAGCGTGAGCTATCCTGCGTCCAGTGGGTAGTAGCGTCCTAGTAGCTAGGAACGATGTTCTCCCACTGCCTACTTAATTAAGTAAGGAGGCAGGGCCACGGGCAAAAAACAAGTAAGTAGGAATGGGCAAGACAAAATGAAGACACACAGGAGATATAATCTTTAAGAGAGGCAGTGTCATATTCTATGCGATTCCGCATCAGCTGTGCGGCTCCACCCCACGTGACATCTACATGTCACATGCTCACCAGCTCGAAGTGCCTTCCGATGGCAGACCCCTCAACATGAATTAAATCGATTTCAGAAGTGACAAACTGTTTGGGTTCTACACTGGTAGAAGTCAGAGTTTTCTATCTTTCGAGTAACACTCTTAATTCCGAGTATGTCCTCGTTTTGCCATGTCGGAAGTCCGGACCCATCTGTCGTCGATCAATTCCATCTCCAGGTCTTTGCACGATCCTTGATGTGTGAAGGACGTCCTACATAGCGGGTACATCTTGAGCGTTGTCAACCACCACCCTGATGTTTCCCTCTTAAGTTTGCCCCACATATAAGAACCAAATGAACAGCGCGTGAGCTATCCTGCGTCCAGTCACTAGTAGCGTCCTAATAGCAACGAACAAGTTTCTCCCCTAAGTGAGGCAGGACAGTCGGACAGCTCAACGTCTTAATATTCTATTCTCACGCAGCCAACAAGTCGAAGAGACGCGGTTGGATCAAGGCTGTGATTTCAGCGGCTGTGCGCTCAAAGCGCTCCCGGAGAGCGCAATCAAAATGGTCGGGCCAAATCTCGAGCATATCACACCGGCCAGCGGTGAGCTTGTTCCCACTCTCGTCAACCGAAGAAGCAGTCTCGAAAGGCAAACCCATAGAAAACCATCGTTTTGAACAGGCCCACTTGTTGTCGGGAGCGGCTACTCAACTCAAGAGAGACTCCAAAATGCTTGAACAAGGAACGAACAGCAGAAGACAAAATGTCAAGATCCCCCACAAGGCACCGCAAAATATGTCTTCCTGATATGAGTAGGTCTTACCAGAGCCGCCAGCGAATGCCATTGGAAGTTTGTGTCCAGCATTCAAAAGGCTGATCGGAAGCTCGAAAAAAGAACCGTGCCTCTTAAGAGGGGCTCGAGACCAACAATCCAGTGACTAATGTCATGAACAAGAATTGCAGGGAACCTTCCAAACTAATTTGCGCCTCATCATCAAGAGGCCCAAGCTGTGCAGCCAAGGTAGCATCATTCGGGCTCCACTCAAAAGCTAAAGCTGGACAAGGTGCACTCTTCCATTTCCAAAGCCGGACGGGCCGCAGCGCTGAGGTCTTGCTCCGCCATAGCCAGTAGAAAAGCTTGCTGACGCCGAGTAGCCGCAAGACTGGTACGATGGTGCTGCGAAAAGGCTTTGAAATCTTCATCAAAAGCCAGAGGGCGGTTCTTGTTCACCCATTTGGCTATGCTATCAGCATGGGCATATGCCCTTGTATTTGCCACTCGTCCACTGGGTCACTTGCTTCTTCACGGTCTTCAGGCGCAGCAACCTTGATGAGGGTGAAAGGTCTCCTGCAATTGGAGATGCAGCCTGACACGTGCTGGCTGTCCGTATGGACAAAAGGGTGCTCCTGGAGCCGCAGACACAGCAGCGTAGCTGAGTTCAGGCAAGGAGTTCAGCTCGGTCCTTACTTTGCTGCAGTTCAAGAACGTAGCCATACGCTAAAGTTCCAGCTGGACCAGGGCCACTCTAGCCAGAGTGGGTTGCGTGGGAAGGGAGCTGCTATCCACAAACAAATGAAGCTCCCCTGTACCCAGAGGCAGTTGAAGGAAAGCGTCACGAGTGTTTGGCAAAGGAAAAAGTTGCTCCAAACATCGCAAGGCAAACTCATGAAGCAGCCGTGGAGGTTGTGTGAGATCCAAGTGTTCAAATCCAAGGTGAGCGACCTGGAGCCCTTGCATGAAGGATAGTCCACATCGCCAGCGTAGGAGCTGCTGTCTGTCCACTCAAAGGCAGATCATGTCGAGCATTTGAGATGTTGTCGTGGTAGTCTGCCGACCAAGACTGTGAAGCAAGGTAGAACAGATGTCCCCATCACGCAAGAGAGGAAGTCCATGACAGAGGAGTAGAAGAAGAGGATGGACAGTTCTAGACCCACCAATCCTGAAGATGGAGAACATTTTCTTTGAAGCCAAATCACATCACGCTGGCAAAGGATTCAAGCGCCTCCTTAGTCTCCGGGAAGTTGCCTGTGAGAGGAGTGCGCTCCAGGATCACGAACTGAGCGTCCAACAGGTAGGCCGCGGTGAGCGCCGAAATGAAAGTGGCACGCGGATCTTGATACCCCGTACAGCACCCCTGGATCAAAAGGGTGGGCAAGGGAAACTGCAGCAAACCCCCATCTCACAGCCCCGCTGGATAGGCCGCCCAAACACAAGCGCAGGAAGAAGTCCATGAACATGGTTCCAAAAAGGTCAGCGATAGGTTCAAGTCGCCATAGTGATCCAACCTTTGAAGATGGTCACCTCAGTCCCCACGCGACTGAACCCCCACCATTAGAAAGGGAGCGGGCAGAACCCGTTGCCCTAAGCTGGCGACGTTGCCAGGACCCACTTCTTCTAACCGTACAAAGTTCGCAGACCTGCAACAGCCGCTTTCTGACGAACGGCGCTTCGCAACGGTACGGCGCCTGCAGCGCCAGCAACGGAAGGCTGCGCGCGAAAGCTCCACGCCGCTTGGGTGGAGGTCGTCGTGGTCATCGCCGTTCAAGTTCACTCAAGTTCACTCCAGCTGTCCGGAGTGCATATGTTCCCAGATCGCAAGAGCTATTTGGTTGCTTACGTCAAGTTCAGGAAGAGGTGCCCGTGTGCGCTTTGGAGCTTCGGTGGTGCCAGATGGCAGTCTGCGCTTTGAGCCTGTGTGCTGGTGCCTCTGCAGAGGTGTCGCCGCAGGTTGCTGCTGCCAGATGTCTATGGCAACTGAGCTTTGGAGCCTGCGTGTTGGTGTCGCTGCAGGCCGCTGCCAGTGCTTATGGGAGTGCAGGCTACGCGTGTCTACGCATGGCTGCGCTCTTGCTGCACCCAGTCAGAGTCAGCCACGTCTTGGACCTTCATCCCATCCATACAGATGAGGGGGCAATCTCCTCGCTGCTTGTCGCTCCTGGCTACTGGACGCAGGATATCTCAGGCTTCCATTCACTTGGTTCTTCGATTGTTTTTGGAAACTTAACAGGCTGAGGCTCATCAACCTATTAATCATTTGTTGCCAAAGGCTCTTCAGTTGGGTGACTCATCTTGCTGAGATTCACTGTAACTGCAGTGGGAACAACATGACAAGCATCAACTGAAGATAAAACAGGAATTCATCTGACCAATCGCCAAACAGCGACCACAAACTGTCCCAGAAGTGCCACTTGAATCATGTGACTTCGTTACGGACGCACACCCAGTCTGACTACACCCATACATGCCATATTGGGCCATGCATCACCCTTTTCACAGACTGCACTATTGCAAAGTCACCAGTGGTCGAACAAGTCGTCGCGCGCAATATCTCTTCCCAAACTGAGAAGAGAAAACAAAAAGGGTTCAGTCGATGGGTTCTGTTCTTGTCCCGAAGCTTGTAGCAACACGGCCTCTGAGAAGCGGCGCACCGAAAACTTTTCCGCGTGCAACGCCTCGCCGACTGAGGCGCACCCGAAACGCATTCGATAAGTTCCCACAGTGCGCCATTGTGGTTCCTTACAGATCCAACTCTCCCCCCATCAATGTGCCGTAAGGAAATCACAGGATACACTGTCTTCGCTTTTCCAGTCATCGCGGCAGTGGAAGAGCTCGAAGGCATGTTCGATGGTGCCTCCTCCTTGGTGAAAAAATAATGATGTTGCTCTGTGGTTTTCCTTTTGTTTGCGGCAAACTGATCGTGTTTTCGTAACTTCTTTTCTCGTCCTTTTCCGTTTTTTCTCTCTTTCTCTTTGTGGATATCGTCCGAGGCATGGAACCGAAGAGATTTTTGTTGCACTCCATTCTTCACGACCCGAAAAGATGAGAAAGACCCGAGCGACTGGTGAGGCTGTGTCGGCCTTCACAGGTTTTCGTCTGGCCAATGTCTTCGCAGGATGATATTGGCCAAACCCTTTCTCTTTGCATTTTCTCTCCGAATTTATTTTCTGTCGACTTCCTTCTTTTCATGTCTCCTCGGCTCTTCCTTTTGTCCCGGTAGTTCTTCTCTCGTCCTTCTTCGGACGCTCGATGTTCTCTCGGACTTCCCGTGAGCAGAATTCATCAAATTCATCAACATGAACATTCATTACCGATCCTACAATCCGTAACTTTCTCCTTTCCCGTTTTTGGGAAGGACGCTTCATTCCCACGTGTCACTCCGTACACCATGATGGATCTCTTCCTCAAAGCTTCCATCTTCGTAACCCAACTGAATTGTGATATCATTTTCGAAGCTCTCCCTGACTTCCTTCCGAAAACATGCTTCTCGTTTTCTCCTCGTGTTCTCGTGTTCTCAATCTCGTCCTCGTCCCGTCAATGAAGCCAAGTTGGTCCTTCAAAGGACGCGCCGAGCAACTTCCACAACGTGGGAAGGAAGCGAGATGTTCGAACGGATGCGTGAGCTTCACCAGACGTCCATCAGTTCACCAGCTGTTTATCACCTTACCGGTAGAGAGCTCATAAGAATGTTCTTGACACCGGAAACATCGCCGTAAGAACCTTTCACCTTTGACTCACTCCTTCAGCCTTCTCTTCACCTCTTCACCTTGTGTGGGAAGGGGTCTCTTCCTTCCCCCCTCAGCTTCCTTTAAACCCGATCGTCTTTAATCCTTAAAAGCGTATTTCTTAAGTTTCTTATCTCTTTTCGTGGCGCATGTAAGATACCGTCTCCGAAGACGGTTCATCCTTCGTTGTTTTTTGCAAAGAAAACGAGATTGGAAGAAAGAGAAGAAAGGAAGACATGAATAAAAGATAAAGGAATAAAAGAAAGGAGTTTTGAAGGAATTAAAGAGAAGAGAAGACTTCTTTGTTCGATAAGAAAAGAAAAAGGAAAACATGGAAGGCGGTGAAAGTGAGAAGAGAACTTGGCCAACCCGAAGACCCCGGTGCTTTCTTTCGAGCCAACTGGGTGTCGGTGAAGAGAAGAAGGGAAGCGAGGGAGAATGAGAAGGGAGTCTGTGGGAGGAAAGAGAAATATACTTTTTTCATTTCACAGGAATCTTTGGAAGAAGAAAGAAGCACCGGAGGGTCATTCCACCTATTTGGGGCGTTCTTTCCGCAACTTCGCAAAGACCGCCTCGAAACCGTTTTCCGTTTGTGTCCACTGACAGGTCTATCTTTGACCAGGTCTTTCTCACAGGCAAGGGAGAAGAGAAGATGAGAGCAACAGAGGAAGGGAAGAAGGGAGAAATGGAGCGACAAAACGACAGAAACGATGATCAGACGGCAGTGCAAGGACGACGAAGTCAAAGACTCTCGCGAGGTGCCTTTTCTCACCGAAGAACCGAAGAATGTTGGGTTTTCAAACCGATTAAAGTAAAGTGCATCGCTACTAGTAACAAGTGCCTTACTAGTAGTAACAAAAAGAATTTAATTAGAATTGTAATATGTCGGTTGTTCGTTTTTCCCGAAAGCATTGCGAAGGGTTCTTCCGGAAAATCTCTTGAACACTGACACTTCTACACTTACACTCACACACTGACACTTCCACACTTGCACTTGAACACTGACATTTCGACACGTACACTTGAACACTCACGCTTCCACACTTACACTTGAACATGAACATGAAGACTTACACGTCTATACACGTCTATACGTATCCAAGTGTAATGTAAGTGTGAGTATGGAAAACTTGCACGGGAGATGTCCTAATGAAAAACATTTAAAACTTGCACGGGAGATGTCCTAATGAAAAACATTTCCCCACTTTATAAATTCTCTCTTAAAGGCGGAGGGTGGGACGAACAGCGGCAACCGAAAATGCAACCCTCTGCGGAGATCGTGCGTGTCGAGTGCGCGAAACGCAGGCGAGAATGCGATGTCGAGTGCGCGACATATATACACTCTGACATTGGTTTTCAGTTAACTCAATTGCCACGGTGGGAAGGAAGGTGAAGAACGGTAAGGTGAAAAGTCCGAAGAGTTGAAGGTGTTTTAACAAGTGTTTTTCTCTCAAGCTGCAAAACGAAAAGCTCACGAAAACGCGCGGCTCAGCTGCAAGAACGCGGTGGGAAGGTTTGGGGGGGAGTATCATGAAGAACCATGAAAGCAAATCAATCAGATTGGACAGCTTGTTCAAAAGTTGAAGCAGGTACACATCAGGACGTCTCCCGATGCATCACCAAAGATTGTGGATGTCTTCGTTGGCAGTGATTCCACAAACTCTGTCACTGCCCCCTGCGAGAGAGCCGGTGGACCCTTAGAAACAGGGCTTGACACACACACACAGAGACCCACACACTACCTCAACTCACTCGACTTAACACTTCACACACAACACTTAACAGATAACTCACACTCTGACTTCCTACGTGATGAAAAATGCATTCGGGCCACTCGTCGTCTAGTTTCAATAACTTCAAAAAGTGAAAATTGTTTCTAATAGCTTTTTGTTACTACTAGTAAGGCACCTGTTACTACTAGCGTGGCACTTGTTCCTAGTAGCTTCTTTCAAACCTTGTCGTTTTTTCGTTTTTTCTTTTTTCGAACCTTCCAGGCCGAGCCTTCCAGTTCTCTCCAGGCGGGTCGAGCGTCGTTGACTCGAGACGTGGCTGTGTCTCACGGCCAGGACAAAAAGGACGAAGCGTACCGAGACAAGGAGAGGGATGAGAGGGATACGGATGAAAGGAAGGAAAGGAAGGAAAGGAAGAAAGGAAACATAGAAAAAAACGCAAAAAACGGAAGAAAGGAACGGAACACGAACAAGAACACGATGCCATCCGTCTGCGGTGTCTCGCTGTTGAGGTTCGGCAGAAATTGGTGGAAACCCTGGGCAAAGAGGAAGAGGTCGAAGCGCTTGATGGCTAGCAGCCTAAAGTGATGTGCACTGCTTTGCTGTTAGGACCGAGATTGACAAACTCAGTGAAAGAGAAAGAATCACGAAAGCGTTCGCTTCAAAAACCTGGGTTAGGAATTGAACAATTCAATCACGAAAGTGGGCCCCGGCCCTCTATGGGCATGAAGAGAGCCCATATTACTATCCCCAACACACTCAGGGTTCTTGTCGAATTGACAGGCCCTGACGGCCCTGCCGGTTGCGCAGCGGTCGTATTGTGGTTTGAGCAAACTAACTCGAGATGAATCCAATTGTGTCCATTGCGCATAGCTGCGCATAGCTTCTGCGGTTCGAAACAGGTCTGCGCGGTAACATTCATCATCGGTTCCGGCAGATGTGTAGCGAAGGATGTTGATTGGACGACTTCCGTCCGAAGTATTGCTGACGGTTGGCGATATGATTCGAAGAATGGTGTCTTTGAGGCTTTCACGCTAGGCTAATCTGTTCTTTTGCTGAAAAAAAACGGCATACATAAATGCCACTCAGGTGAAACAAAGCAAAGCATGCGGGACTGCTTTCGTTGCTTTTTGGCACAGCAAACCAAACATAGCAACGTCAAAATTCACAAACCAAGCCTTTACCGTCACATGTGACACCCCGTGACCGCGTCCTGAGTGTCTCGCACAGGACCCTGTCAAGCTCGCTGAAGAGATTGAAGAGGACTCCCTCGGCGCGCTGTGCCTGCAGAGCATGGTTGTGTAGCCATATTTGGATTTAGACCCTGCGGACTACTTCACCCTTCCTAACTTTGCTTGGGATGCGATGCTTCTTAAAACTTAAAGCTGGAGTGGAGTTAGAACCATTGACCGACCAAGAGATGTATGAGATGATTGAGAGGGGGCTTGGTGGTTTTGTCCAGTCAGTCATAAGGAAGCAAAGGCAAACAACAGGTATATGGGTGAAGACTTT